ACTTTCATAATTAATTATATTGTACTAATAAATAGTTAGTCCTTTTAATTTATTTAGGCTTAAAACTATATATGTCAATTTGAACCTCATACTCATTAATAATTTGGTTTAGGATATCGAAATAAGATAAAATTAATCATCTGTTTCTTATATTGAATTGGTTATCGTTACTTGTATTTAGTTTTTTTTGTTATATTTGAAACGTTGATAGAAACCATTAACTTTAAGTTTTGTAGTATTTTTTTTTGTCAAAATTTTTAATTGCCATTAAATATTACGTTAACTTTATAGTTTTTTTTTATAGTTACGTTTTAATTTCAATGACCTATATATAGGTTAGATAATTTCATGTTTCAAATGACAAATACAAATCATTGTTTCTTACATTTGTTTTTCATAAAATAAGATTAATTCTTGTATATTTTAAGCGTAAGTAGATATGTCTAAATTTAGCTCTCAGATTACTACGCTATTCATCGTTGTAGCTTTGGTGTGTGCGTTTGTTCCGGTTTTCTCAGTCGAAGAAGCTGAAGCAAAATCATTATGGAATACTTGTGTTGTTAAAATCACTCCTAAGTGTGCGTTGGATATAATTGCTGTTGTCTTTGAAAATGGAACCATCTCTGATCCTTGTTGCAACGATCTCGTCAAAGAAGGGAAAATGTGTCACGATACACTTATTAAATATATTGCAGATAAACCCATGTTAATTGCCCACGAAACAGAATACTTGAAGAAGAGTGATGACTTGTGGAATCATTGTGTCTCAATCTCCAAAAGTACTTGAACTTTGTATTGTTTGTACTATATTTACTGAATAAATTGAGATTTCTCTGTTGTTAGATTTCTCTTACCACAAACATTTATATTTTCACTTTACTACAATATTCACTAAAGGGAATTCTCTCTGAAAAAGAAGAACTTAAATTTATTATTTTCTATTTGAACTTTAAAACAAAGTTTTCTATTAGGAATCGAATAATAATATAAAAATTTAAATATTAAGAGTAGCTCTAAATATTATTGAGTGAATTTTAAATTTTGTATTTGTTTTTTAGAGTAATATGTTTTGGATAATTCAAAAACGTTTACCATTTTTTCCTCAAAGCATATTAAAGAACATAATTTTTATAAACTCAAAAACAATTAATATACATTATCTTTAGTCTTTAATTCAATAACTATATATCAAGACCTCATAAAAATAACCAAAACGTTTTCACGGAGATATTTAATTCGACTTTCAATTTGAATATGATATATATTAAATCCTTTGATTTTACAAATATTCATAGCAAAAATATGCATTTCCCAATGGATCTGTTAGTTCACATGTATCTTAATTAGTGTAAAATCATATAAAATTATTAGTGATAAAAGCTAGTAGTGATAAAAACTAGTTACATATTTATATAAGCTCCTTTACCATTCAACTTGAATCTTTCGTTAATATATAAATTTAAAACAATTGATTAGATTCTACGTAGTGGTATATATTCTTAACATATCGTAACAATGAGATCCTAATTATCATGTATCTTTTGATATGTTAGGATTCATTTGTTTTGAAAAGATGGATGTTTCACCATTTTGGGTTATTTGTTTCTATAATTTTTTACCGATATGCAATTTTAAATGATATGTTTTTAACTATACTATTATATAATAGCTATTGTTTAGTTATAATAGTTGATTCTTTAACATATATCTATTAACAAAACTATATATGATATTCTAAAACTATTTATTTGCTCTTGTGGATCTCATATAAGCATATAATTAAAAACTTTGAAAACCTTCGAATAAATTGTATGTCGAATACACTTTTATTAACATTTATTAGTCATTTAGATTAAAAGTATTGTGAAAAATTGATTTTTTATATAAATAAAATAATAGTTTTCAGATACAATATGAGTTAGGCTTTTAATACTTTCATAATTAATAATATTTATACTTATAAATAGTTAGTCCTTTAATTTATTTAGCTTAAAACTGTATATGTCAATTTGAACCTCATACTCATTAATAATTTGGTTTAGGATATCGAAATAAGATAAAATTAATCATCTGTTTCTTATATTGAATTGGATATCGTTACTTGTATTTAGTTTTTTTTGTTATATTTGAAACGTTGATAGAAACCATTAACTTTATGTTTTGTAGTATGTTTTGGGATACAATATGCGAGAATCCTCAAAGAACAACAGAAAGAGCGATGACCAAAGATGGTGTTCTTGATATTATTGATGAAAATAGTAGTTTTGATCATACAAAGAGTTTGATCGTAAAAGAAAAGTGTTTTGCTTAAGAGCTTTTTGTAGTCTAAAATCTAGAGCGATATTGCTTGTTTTTCCTGCGAGAGTCTTGAGTCTCTTTATATAAGGATGATAAACCGCCTCTCCAGCGATATTCTCGGAAGATTTCCATTTATCTTGAAGTCGGCTTAGAATATCGCGGATTAGGATAGTTTCCTTTTTCTTCAGGGTTTTCGGAAGTTTTCCTGATTTGAGTTGATCCTTCGAGATTCTTCCTTATCATTTCCGGGTATTTCGAAAATGATGCCTTGCTTGGAAATGGTATTTTTGAAGGTGAATATTTTATTAAGTCCTTGCCTCGGATGATTGATGAATTTGCCTCGGGTAGTGTGGAAACTTCCTGGTGTATTTGGCTCGGGGAGACGGCGTAACACATTACCCGAAGCGAAATATTTAGAAGGCTCGGGTACCCGTAGGAGAGCGGGCTCGGATACCCGAACCAAGGACGGGCTCGGACGCCTGGATGTCGAACGGGCTCGGGTACCCGGATCATGGATGGGCTCGGACGCCTAGCCGTCGAACGGGCTCGGGTACCTATCTGATCGGGCTCGGGTGCCCGAGCTGACTAGCATAGTCCCGAGCCGGCTGGCAGGGTACCCGAG